TCAATTTCTCGATCATCCGGTCCACTAATTGGACTTTTCTGTATTAAATTGCCATCGGGTGTTACAGGAACAGGTTTTCCGTCTGCGCCTTTTATCAATAAGGCATCTTTGATTGGTTTACCTTCTTTATCGATCACAGCAGAACCTTTTTTAACAGCTTGTCCATCAGGGCCTTCTATAACAGAACCTCGAATTAATTTGCCATCGTGAGTAACAGGCACCGGTTTACCGTCAGCGCCTTTTTCCACTGTCGCACCAGGAATAACTTACCTTCGGGGCCTAATACAACTGAACCTCTTTTCAATCTTTTTACCATCAGGTGCAACTACAGCAGCTGAAGGAATTGGTTTACCGTCTTCAGATATCGGCACAGGCTTGCCTTCGATACCCATAACCACAGATGCTCCTGGAACCGATTTTCCATCAGGCCCTACAACTGATGGACCAACTGTAACTGGCTGACCATCAGGAGTGCGTGGAGTTGCATCAGACAAAGGTTTTCCATCAGGCCCAAGTACTATTGGTTTACCATCAGGTCCATATTTCAAAACCGCTTCCTTTATAGGTTTGCCTTCAGAGTCTGGAACCATAGTACCTTTATCAGCGGAGATTCCATATGGTGTTTGAACTTCAACATCTTTCAACGGCTTTCCATCAGCGCTGACAGGTATAGGTTTTCCATCTGCACCTTTAATAACTGAAGCGTCTTTAATTGGTTTTCCATCAGCACCAACCACTACGGAACCCTTCGGAAGTGTTCTGCCACCAGGTTCTTGTACTATTGCATCTTGTATTGGTAAGCCTTCGACATCAAGAGCAACTGGTCTATCGTCCGCTCCTTTAATTATCACTGAACCAGGTATTGGCATTCCGTCAGGCTTCAATACTGGAGAGCCTTTTTGAATTGTCTTACTATCTGGACCTAGTATTTCCGCTCCAGGTATAGGTTTACCATGACCCCCAATTGGTACAGGTGCCCCATCACCGCCAGTTTGAACTGACGAATCTTTTATTATTTTACCTGTAGGTCCGACTACAGCTGTACCTCTATCCACTAGTGTTCCCTCAGGACCCAGTATCGTTGCTTCAGGAATAGGTCTTTGATCGGGACCTACCGGCACTGGCTTACCATCTACACCAGTAACCAAATATGAATCTCTTATGGGTCTTCCATCGGGCCCCAACACGGCCGATCCGCGTTCAATGACATTAAGATCAGGGCCTAATATTGAACCTTCTCTAACAGGAAAACCATCTTCTTTAAGAGGAACAGGTTTTTTTTGTTCATCGGCCCCTGGAATCAACGTTGCTTCGCGAACTGCTTTTCCATCAGGTGTTACAACAACAGAGCCCTTTGGAACCGGCTGCCCATCAGGTCCTAGCACAACGGCATCTTTTATTGGTCTACTTTCTCCATCAATTGGCACAGGTCGACGTTCTTCATCAGCACCCGCGATAATTTCGGCGCCTTTTATTGGCTTTCCGTCAGGACCTAAGATTTGTGAACCTCGCCGTGCTTCGTCAGTTGGAGTTTCTTTTCTAGCTGCTGCCGGTGCTGTTTCAACGGCCACAGATTCAGTTTCTGTAGGTTTTGCCTTCCCTTTCTCCTAATAAGCATAAAAAATATTAAAATATGATATAAACGTCATGGCTATTTTTTGTTTGTAATCATTTTGTGTATACATTATATCATTGCAAAGTTAAAAATCTTTATGATACCGAAAATAAATTTAATTCTATAATTTTCAAATTATATTTATATACAGATCTACATATCTATATAAACAAATTAAATTATTAAATTATTCAAAAGATATAGAATATTAAAATGAAAATTCATTCTAAAATACAAGAAATGAATTTTATGCACGAATAGTTTATCTGCAAAAAATCTACTTGAATACTTTACATTCACTTATAATTTAAACCGTTTTCAAACAAATATATTTTTAGAGTAATTAAGGTATATATTTAGTTTAGGTAGAAATGGTATAGTATAATTTGAAATAAGAATTTCACACCTAACTCATATAATAAGAAGTAGGTTTATCTTACCACCGATGAAGGAACTCCCGATACAGCTTCTCTGTCTCCCTGAAATAATAATGTAATAAATATTTAATTCGTGCAATTGAATTCAATGCAAACTACTAATTTTTATCTTTATCTTACCACAGCTGCAGTAACGGGTTTTTTCTCTTTCTGAAATAAACATATAATAAATTAGAATAATATAAATTCGTAAATAGTTTTTAAGCCACTAACTTCAATAAATATTAATTAATAAAGTTCCTTCAATTTTTGCACCATTTGAAATGGGTTGTTTGAATGCAGTACAGTATACTTATATTCCCTACGTCAAATATTTGAAAGTAACAGTAAATCTCTTCAATTTTTTTTTTTAAGATCTATAGTAAAAGTACTATGTAGAATCTATGGATTACAGAAAAAGTATATCTTACCACTGCTGAAGGCACAGCTTCCCTGTCTCCCTGAAATTAACATAAAATAAAAATATTAGTTAAATAAAATAAACATATATTAT